GCAACGAAGCTCTCTGTTTAGGCGATGGTCGTCTTTTGTTCAGGTCAATGGCCTCTCCTGCAGGTTCTCTCCACCTTCTTCTTTTCATGACAGTCCTTCTCCTCACAAATATGGGTTTTCAGAGGTGTTTCTATAGTGCTCACTGTCTCAGCCTGGGCTGGGGGGGTACGCCTTGGAGCCAGGGGAGCTTCGTGAAGCTTCCCACAGGGTAGCCCCTTCCCCCACTACCAAAAATGCCCCCCCTTCCTCCAAACCCAACACAATTAGACTCCACCTTCTTCTTTTCATGACAGTCCTTCTCCTCACAAATATGGGTTTTCAGAGGTGTTTCTATAGTGCTCACTGTCTCAGCCTGGGCTGGGGGGGTACGCCTTGGAGCCAGGGGAGCTTCGTGAAGCTTCCCACAGGGTAGCCCCTTCCCCCACTACCAAAAATGCCCCCCCTTCCTCCAAACCCAACACAATTAGATAGAAGAGTATCCATCAGGAATCACTGCCAACCAGGAGATGTCGGTGAGTAAGGAATATATATGGGAGAAGAGAATGAAGTAGCCAAGCAGTATGGAGAGAGAGAGAGAGAGAGAGCAAGAGGCAGGGTGATGTGCCAGGGAATCAGGAGGGGAGAAATTAGCAAGCGACTTGCAGAACAGTAGAGAAGGAGAAATAACACCATGGAAGGTGGCCTGGGCAGAGTTACGAAATAGCTGGAAGACTGCGTGCAAAAGCACAGCGATAACAAGTCAGCTCCCATTTCCATCAGAAGTGACCGTAGGAGGGAAATAGATGGAGAGAGAAAGATTACGCCAGTTACAAAAGATCCTTGGCTTCCAGGAAGGACAAAATCCTTTGTTGTATCAAAATCAATTAAAGTTGTATTGAAGGCTTTTCGGTGTAAACATATTGACAGAGTTAATTTGCCAGGGAGCTGATAGGGCTCCCCATTGTAACCCGACAGGAGTGATGGTAGTCTCACAGGACTACCCAGTCACATTTGACGTGCACAGCATAAGTAAATGTCTAAGATCATGAACTGCATCTTTGCTATAGCAGTACAGCCCTGGAGCAGAATTTCTGTGTGAGTCTAGTCTCTCTGTATCCACTGGGGCAGTGTTCATCTTTGCCTCCCAGGGGTGTCCTGCAAATGGCATGCGTTCCCCTGTGTCCTGTTCCGTTTTTGCATGGTAGGGTTACAGAGGTCAAGGTAGAATCAGCTGATCGCTAGGAGTGTGCAGATGTCACAGGGTTATCAGCAGAGTTGGTGTTCAGTGCTTCTGGCACTTACCTGTCTTGTATCTAGTGGGTTGAATTTGGAAGTAATGTGACAAAGGGATGCATTTAATATAACTTTGAGAAGTCAAGCCTGTATTTTGTTTTGAGGTGCTGGTTTAAAAATCCATGTGTTGAAATTGTTTTTACTAGCTAGTCTTTCATTATCAAAAAATGCCTGTAGTCCCTGCAGCTGCTGGGGAAAAAAATTACCTCACTGAAAACTCTTTAAGTATTGCAGGAGGTACCTACTGAGATGAAAGCCTATAAATATGAAATTTTCTTCCTCTCCTGTCATAAGTATGCTTCTTTTATTCATTGTCCCTTTGGGTCTTAATTAATGAAGGGCAGGAGGCAACTGGTTTACCTGTTTAATGTGGTTGTGAAATCATAAGATAGCAACTATGGGCAGCTAATGTAATAAAGTGAAGCTCCCCAATGACTTAGAAAGTGCTCAGTGAAATCAAATTGCTTGCAAATCCTTTATGAGACTTTTTAAAACATGAATGTCACAGAAACTGTGAGTAAAAATGACCTGTCCTTTTTTGTTTTATTTTTTAACCTACAGATATTGATGATGTCAAAAAGCACAAACCAGGTTACCTTGAGGCTACGGTTGACTGGTTCCGATCGTATAAAGTCCCTGATGGAAAACCAGAAAATCAGTTTGCTTTTAATGGAGAATTTAAAGACAAGGTGAAGATAATCCAAAATTGAAGATGCATCTTTCTGTCATGTGACCTCTTTAATACATCCTAGAATTTTTTAAATTTTAAAGGAAGTGGTTTAGCAAAAATTTTTATACAAGGGATCTTTCAATACAATTTAATAGGCTGGGAATAAATAATGGTTGCTGCCTTCCATTTTATTCAGGGAAAATGCATAGGTTATTAAAGGAAGTCTGCAAAAAAAATCAGTCTTAATCCTGACGAGACTTACACACACGTCTGTAGGTTTGTAGGTTTTTTTCACAGTGTTTTCATTCTTCCTGTCAAAGGAATGAACAGATTGTTTTTTCAGGTATTTTTTAAGTCATGATTGATAAATTTTCGTGACATTTTTTAAGGCTATGCAGTTAAGACAGACAAGAGGTTACAGATTTTTTTGTATTTGGTATTTGCTCAAGGTATACTTTTTCCTGGTAATTCTATGTAAAAGTATTTGAGCTGTTTTTGGCTTGAAGGCTGAAAAAATGTTTTTTTTTCCCTTTTTTTAGAAAAAATTAATGACCTTTTGAACTATCTACAGTAAAAATGGCCAGTGTTTGAATGGAGAGGGGACCTGGAAATAGACCTCACTGAAGAAAATACCTGGGTTTTTCCAGAGGAAACTGGGTGTGATTTGAGTAAAAGTGCTTTGCAGACTGTGTATTGCACACTCTCTCTAGACTATTTTGGGCACAGAATCACAAGTTTCCTAATCAATGATGTCCATGTGTCAGGTAGTTCAGCCTTGTAGTGTTCTATTCAACTTATAAAATACTTTCTAAGCAACACAGGCAGCTTTACGTGTTTTATCTGGTTAAAGAGATGCCCTGACTCCCTTCTGCACTAAAACTGTCTTTTAAATCAATGAGATGTAGAGTTGTAAGGCTTGATAACCTGATCTCTCCCCTGTTCTTCTAGGAAGTGCTCTTAGAGATTTTCCTGCTCTGTAAAGCAGAGTGTTGCTCTGTAGTGACAGTTCACCAGTGTATCTCTGTCACACCATTGGAGTTCAGGCTTGAGGCACTGATTGCCCCGAGAGAGCTGGTTTGGAGCACTTGAATAATTCTCAAGCATTTCTAGAGACCCAGGATGTGGCGAGGCGCCCGTGGCTGTGCTCCAGCAGCTCTGGTGAAGTTCACAATGTTCCAGTGGCATTTTGCCAAGTCACTTCTTGTTAGGAAATGTGAATGTTCTGTTGGCAGCTTTTTGCAAGCCAGTCTAGATATCATCATCTGGCCACTGAGGGCTTATTTTACTTTATTTTTTGAAGCTTTTTCATCCCCACCCCACCCCCAATATTACTTTTGGTTTAAACAAATAAAAACTGTTAAGCAGCTGACATATTATGTTGTTGCAAATGCTTAAGTGTATGATTGAGCAATTAATGAAGTAAATGCAAATTTTGCTACTAGATGGGAAACCTTAACTCTGACCCTGTGTAACAGAGGAGTTGTAGCTTGCACACTTTGTCCCATTTAGGACCTGGTAGAGTTTTCTACAGCTGTAGGTGTCTGCTTAGTATCTAGTGCCCATTTCTTCTTTTTTTGTGCAGCCTTCATGTTTTCTAGCTGCAGACTGAGGGAAAGTCCTGAATGTGTTGCCAGTGTGTTTGACAGATAGTTAAGTTTGTTTGTTTGGGGGTTTTATTTCATAAAAAGGGTGTTATATTTTCCAGAAATTTAATGAGGCCTCAGAGGAGGCCCCTTAAAATAACACATGAAACAGTATGTTTTAATAAACTAGTTCTGTGGCTTTTTACTGTTTAATAACATTTTAAATCATAAAACTTTTCCTTGATTTAAACTAGGACTTTGCTGTTGAAATTATTAAATCTACCCATGAATACTGGAAAGCTTTGCTTCATAAAAAAACTGATGGAGGTACTATTAAGTGGTAAGTATCCAGTTACGTCATTTCCTCTTTGTACTGTGCTGGCACTGGTGGTAGTCAACACATGGCAGCTGTGCTTGAACTGCTCAGGTTTTTTACTTCGCGGTGACAGGAATACTCATGTTTTTGATTGATAATTAATTGATAATGGACTGTGATTGACTAATTGCAGCTTGTACAACGATGATTTACTGGTAAGAGCTTCCAAAATATATTGATTATATAAAAGTGACATAGATTACTTCAGCATTTGAGAAATGGCCGCAGAATGTTTGGGATCATCTGGGGAGAATCTCTGTATCCTGTGCAAATCCTCTTGTCATTGTTTATTCCATCCTTCAGTGCTGCACTGCTGTGATGCAAAAATCTTTTGCAGCTTTGCATTCCATATTTTTTAGTTGTTCTCTGAACTGAGAGAGCCAGCTTCCTGTTCTCTACTAGCCTCTGCCTAAATCTAAATTAAAATGGACTTTGTTAAGCTCTCTGGACTGGTTTGCATTGGCAGTTCTGGCACCAGAGGCCCTGAAAAGCAGGCAAGTGTCTTTCTAAGGGCTGTAGATTGCCATTAGCTACACCAGGGGGCAAAGGCTGTGGGGGAAGCTGTGCTCAGATAGTCACTGTCTTCTGCTTTATAGGGAAAATAGGACTTTCTCTCCCTTTCTCAGAGTTGATTGAACACCTTAGCAGCTGGCTACGTTGGTAGTTCTGTTTTAGCATGGCAAGAATACTGTAGAGTAATATTCAAATGTTGATCTTGATCATTTCAGAGGCACTTTGAGCTTCATGTTGATGAAATTAAAAATAATTAAATTTGCAGTCTTGCTTTGAGGAATTGTGCTTCTTGCCACTTACTGGGTGGGACCTTAAAAGCTCATGACCAAACCCACTTTTAGTGTGAAAGGGTACATATTCATAGGGAAGTGTTTCTACAAAGTACTTGATCTCAGAGTTTGTCTGCTCTTTGGAATCGGTACAGGTACCTGCTGCTTTATGTAGGAGCAGAATTTTGACTTGTTTTTTTCTTATCATTATTAGATATTGCAGGTAGGCTACTGCAAATGAAGGGTGGCCTGCCACAGAACCTGGCCATCCTTCAAGGCGTAGGAGACAGGGATATCCACAGCATCTGTGCTAGCCATCTAAGTGTTCTTCAGCTCCCTCACCAAGTGCCAGTTTCTCTGCTGACTTTCTAGTTTCTTAACTGTGGTCCTCTGAACTGTACCCGAATTAGCTGCTAGAAGCACTGAGTGTGAGCACTGCTTGCATTTAATATAGAACATATAGCCTAAAAAAACCCACAAACCCAAAGAAACAAAGGACACCCCTCCACACCTCCGTTCCCCTCCAGCGTTACTGGTTACTTCATGTTTTTGACTTCCTTGTTTCTTGTCGATAGGCATTTCTGAGCTCTATATATGAAGGTGGTTTTTTCCATAGTTACTTAATTGTGAGTGTCTCTTTTCCACTGATTGATAAAACATGTTTTTAATTTTATTTTTTCAGCACAAATGTTCTGGTGAGTGGCAGCCCGTTTTGTTGCAGTGAGGAGGATGCCCGATCAATTGTGCAGTCGGTAAGGATAACATTTACTTTTTCCCACCCTTTTTTTTAGAAGTGATTAATAGGAAAAGAAGGTTTAGAACTCCAAAACTGAAATAAAGTAGCTAAACTGAAATGGTCCTTAAACAAAAATTTAAAGCATAAAGTAAAAGGAAGAGCACGAAGGTTGTGGGGGAAATGTAAGCATTATAACATAAAACTTTCATTGCAGTGGTCCAATTGTGCTTTCTAGCTGGTTCATTACTGTTCTCGTGGGGTTTTTTGTTTTGTTTTTTTTCTTTTCTCCCTCCGCAGTGCTGTTTCTTCTGATCCCGAATAGCAAGATGTACTGCTATTTGTATCTAGCCTGCTGTCTTCTCTGTCTCCCCTGTTGCCATGAGTTACCACCCAGTGTTAGGACTCATTGACTAGCTGACTGTAGTCCCTAATCACTGAAGAGATCCTTTGTTTGTCTACTTGCATAATTAAATGCATTACTGTAAGAGAGGGGGTTGCTATTTTGAATGTTTCTTAAATACTGCCTGTCAAATTCTGAAAATTAACATAAAATTAAAACATGAAGGTTTCCTGTTCAGGCAAGAAAAATGTCCTGCAGATCTGATGCTTTCACGTACAAATAGTCGTGGAGGAGAATTTCTTCCACTTGTAAAATATGCTAGTTTGGATGCCAGAAATTAAGCAGAGTTACTAGAAATTACATGGAGAAAAGTACCCCCAAGTTGTTGTTTGGGTTTTGTTTGTTTGTTTTGGTTTGGTTTTTTAGTATGTGCCATGGTTGAGCCTGTGTTCGTGGCCGCATGAGCGTGGCAGGTATTTTGCACATGTGCACGGCTGGCTGGGCAGCCAGTGTTTTGCCCCAGTAGTCACAGTAATTATGCAAGTTCCAGTGTCAAAGGAGACACCATCCACTGTCTGTGCACTTTACGTTCCAACAGCGTTTCTAGTAAGAGTGCGTTGTCCTGGGTGGTGTTTTGTCACAAGCAAAGAAGACTGTCACTTGCAAAGAAAAGTTGGATAAAGAAGTGTCAGACCTGACTGTTTTTCCTATTTGGGTCTTTTGCTTTCAGCACCCCTTTAAAAGTACCTTTATGGCTGCACTTGTGAATGTTGATTAATGGGACTGTAAGTTTTAAATGAAGGAAAAACTCATTTTGGAATTCAAATATGTTTTTAGACATGTCAGTCACAGCTATAAGCAAATATTTACCTCCTCTATGCTTTCAAATTTACAATAACTTTTAGTGAGTGTTTAAATGCAACTAAAATTCCAAGTTCAAATGTGTTTGGATGTGACAGAGCTGCAAAGGAATATTTTCTTTTGCCTTCTGTGCTGTTTGTACTTGCAAGCATGTAGGGTAATTGATTATCTGTTTAAATCAGCAGTATCCGTTGTTTTGTCTCTTAATAACAAATCAAATCTTTTCCTGTTTTTTGAGAGGAGGTTAGTAAAACCAGTTCGTAAAATAGGTACCTTGGATCAAGCTTTAATGTCTTTTTTTGTTATGAGCACTTGCCTTCTTGTAAAATATTACCACTTTCTGGCTTTTTTTGTGCCTCACATTGTTTTATTTCAGTGATACTGTTTTTGTAAAGTTGTCATCACGTACTCCTTTCCATCATTCCATTTCAGTTTAGTATAAGTATTTTAATTATGGCTTTGTAGGCTACTGTCTCTTGCTACTTTCCAGACAGGGAAGAGATGCGATAGTCTTAATTGTATGCAATTTCCAATCTATGATAACTAAAAAAGCCATAAAATGCTCTTGAAATGTGAATGGTGGACAGTCAAACTCTAAATTTAAGCAGGGAGGCTGACTTGCACATTTTAAACAGGTATCTTTTTGTCTAGTACATTACACTGCCCACTCTGGTTGTCAGGCATTCATCTCTTTCAGACTGAAGTGAAAGTACGTGAGTGCTGGCTGCAGAATTTTAATGGCTGTGGTAATTTTATATGAAAGCTGCCTGTGTCTGTCTGTCTGGGTTTTTTTTTTTTGTTTGCATTTTTTGGGGTTTTTTTAAACTAAAAGCAGATACATTTTATTTTAATTTATTAAAAGAAGTCTATCTATTAACCTCTGTATAAAAACAGAAGAATAAAAGCTGAGGTAGAGATATTTTTGTATGCAAGTACACTGAGAAATGTATTTCAGCTGCCATAAAATTTCTGAACTACTTGTGCAGTGAGAGCTGGTTCCCTATAATTCTGTTTCCTGGGTCAGACTCCACTTAGGGAATTTTTGAGTGGGTGATAATTGCCTTGAATCAGGTATATTGAGTTCTCAAAAAAACCCCAAAAAACCCAACCCAAAAAAACTCAAACCAAACTAACAACCAACAAACAAATAAAAAACCCCCAGAAGTCAACACTCAGTATTGTTATGAAACGATTTTTATGGTGAGCGAGAGAACTGTAAATAAGAACCAAATTGGAGCCAAACAAATCCTTACCAAATGCTTACCAAATTTTAACCAGAATTTCATATATGTTTTGACTGAGTAGTTCCCAAGATAGTCCTGTTGATTTCAGTAGGATTTATTGTGCTATTATATGATCTTTCATTGTTTCACAGATGTAGGACTAGAATAGCTTGTCTCCATTGGGGAATTTCCACTCCACTGGGTTAGCTTCTAGATGATGGGCACGTGTACTGTTGTCTGTATTGGCGGCAAACTAGGAATGATTCTACAGCTGGTGAAGTTGCCATGTCCAGTCAATCTCAAAGAGACAGAAGATGATGTGTGCATATAGGAACACATACTGTACCTTTGAACCAGCCAAGATTGCGCTAGACCCCTGCAACTACAAACTCAGTTGAGTCTTGATACTAAGTAGTGAAAATTTCTGCTGTTCTCTAGCCTCTGTCTCATCTCCTTCTCAGCTCCAGTGTTAGTACGTGTTGAAAACTAACCCCAAGAGGAGTAGAGCTTTGTAGCTGAATGTGTTAGTGCTAAGATGTACTGTTTATTTCGGGCTTTTAAGTGTTGCCATCTGTAAAACTGATCAGGACAGCCAAACCTTTGTTTAACATTAATCCTGAGACCTGCATGCTCACTCGCTCTGTGAAGAAGCTGCTGAGGACTTCGCAAGTTGGAAAATATCCAAGACAATCTATATATAGTTAGTAGAGCAGTGTTTCTCAGACTTATCACATAATTGTTCCCTTAAAATACTTCAAAGAGAACTAGGAAAGCTTAGCTAGGTGAGATCTCTTTTGGTAAAATGCAGAACAGTGTTTTACAGGGGGAAATATTTGGATTTTCCCGCCAATTTAAAAAATCTCCGACAAAATTTGAATCTGTATGTTTACTAATGTGTTTTGAATAATTCAGATCTAAGCAGGAAGGTCTGTTAACTGCCTTTCTCCCTACATGTTTTCTGTGAGGACATTTGCATTTGGGACTTAGTAGAGACAGAATTTTCTGTTCAGTGGCCAGTTGTGAAACGGAAGATTGGTGGGGTTATTAGTGTGGGGTTTGGGATTTTTTAAGAAGTTGTGTAGTGAAGAGACTCCTGGTGCAGTGGGATGAGTTTTTGATCTGTTCCTGGTGGAAAGTGCTGAGTCCTTATCTCAAACTTTGTGTACAGTTATCCCAGAAGTGGCAGGCACCTGCTTACACTTGGTGACTACTGGTTCTCCCTGCCTTGTGAGATAAAGCTTTGCTGGTTTTGCTGGAAAGACAGGGGATGGTCTGGTGATAAGGCCTGGAGGACCTGGGTTGTGTTTGTCACACTACACATCCTTTCAGACCAGCCATATAACCCTCCTGGGCAGATAATTATCCTGGCTAAAGTCCTTCCCTCCACACAGGCTTTGACCCTGCTCGGAGACAGGCAGGTTCATGAGGGAATTTCACACCAATGCGTCTTGGTCCAAGTGCTGCACTGTACTAAGCCCGGCTCTGCAGCTTCGGGGTCAGCCTGCCTGCCTGCAGGGTACTTTGAGTTTTCATTGATGTCTTCACATGCTGTTAAATAGCGGCAGGAGGTTCCACCTGTTGGTGTGGAAGACAGGGGTGGTCACTGTGCAGCTTTGTTCTCCTGAAGCTTAAAACAGCTGTAAACCCTGCCTTTGAGGCTGTTTGGTTTTGGCATGGTTCACCAAAGTGATTACTCCTGGGGTTATCTGCTTGGGTTGGGCTTGTGTCCCAGCAAAGGCCAACATCTGCCCAGTTTTTGCATTTGGGTCATGCATGCAGGTGAGCATTGCAGGATTCTTTGTGCTGAGATGCTCTCTGCTTCTTTCCCATCAGTTATGCAGCTGGAAAAGTTGTTGGAAGGGCAGTGGAGGATTGTTGCTGTGCCCGTAACTAGCATCCTCATCGTGAAACAGGTTGCTTCCAGCCGGTGTTAGAACTGACTTTAGTTTTGTCCTTTAAGTTACAGGACAAGACATGCTGGGTAATACTGCAATTGAATAATGGTGTATCCAGCTTTGAAATGTCAGATCTACATTCTAAAACAATTTGTCACTTTCTACAGAACTGAATCTTGCTCTGCCAAAATGTGATCGTAAAAGTGTATCATTACACATTTATTTAAAAAGTTTTGCACATATGTAATGTAAATTTTGTGTGTGTGTGTGTGTGTGTATATATTCACGTGCATACCTTATCCCGAAACATGTATAGTTATGTCATTGGAAAGACATTTTTACTCATTAGTATGTAAATAGCAAATCCTGTTATCATCAAAGATGATACAGTAGGAAAATCCCCTTCATACTAGGCAAGTTGTTAATCTATCACTCATTACTAGTGTGTTTGTTTTGTCATTTAAGAACAACAAAGAAATTTTTACAGTAGTTGTCAGGGGGGTGGAAGGGGAAAGTCTGTAAGGTAGAATATTGTCTTGTGGAACAACTGAAACTTCTGTTTTTATTGATATCTCTTGACTCCAGCAGTAAAATAACTGAGTTTGGGTGCTACCTGTGGAACTTTAGATACTGATCCATTGGTTTGTTTGGGTTTTTTTATTTTTTTAGGCACCAGTGCATATGAATGGAGATTCTGTCCCCCCAGAAGGTACGTTTTTCCCCAAATGCCATACAGTTTCTCTAATAGTTTGCTTTAAAAATTGACTTGAAAACTGTCTTGTTGAAAAAACTGTCTTGTTTTGTGCACATGAGAATGACAATACTTACCTTCTATCAGACTGTAATGCCTGTCCCCAGTTAAATAGAACATGAACAGAAATTCATGGATGGTTTGTGAGAGATTACTTTTGAGTATGAGTGAAAGTGTAGTCCACATCAAAAGATCAGAAGACTAGTTTTTTCTGTCACTTGGCATGGCATTTATCCTTTTTAAAGGAGAAAGGTTGCTTTGCCTTAGTTTTTTTTTTCATTCCTCACAGATGCTAATTAATCAAATAAACAGCTCGTTTTCCTGAAATTGATGTAACCATACTTATTTCACTCAAGTGTAAGTTCCCAAGATAAAATTCTCTCTTCTCACTGTTATGACTATTTTTCATGTGTTTTTCTTCAAGAAATAAGAATACATCCTACATTTTAATTTTAGTTAACTACTTTTAAAAAAAAGAGATTTCTCTGATGGCTGGAGCTATAGAAAGCAGATACGTGCTTTTTGAGATGGAGGGAGTTATGGAAACACTAAGAGAAACTTAGTCATGAGTCAAGTTCCAGATTTTTGCAAAGTAACATCTGTGTAGTCCATGTCATGGGAAAGCAAGCTGCATTCCATTTGCCCTTATATGTCTCAGACCTCTGACAGACAACTGAACATAATCTGCCTGATCTTTGATGTTTTCCAGGGATGGTCACATCAGTGTTATAACTTGATGCAGGATTGTTTCAGCCAAACTGTTACAGTGAACAGAAATTATTCTGAGGCTGTGCTTTACACAAGCTGGGAATAAAGCTCACCCAGAAGTATTATTATGGGAGGGGAGATAGGTGAAAGGGTAGAATGATGCTTTTTTAAGTGTTTGGGTATGTCTAGTTATACAGAACTAATGTCATTCTTATTGTGTTTTTTGTTTTGTTTTAGTTGATTCCTGGCACTTTTATCCCAAGTGATCGTCAAAGTGTTGTGAAGCTGCATCATCAAATCTCAGTCATCCCTTTTTTGAAGACAGGCAAAAGCATTTCTTGTTGGATTCCTATTGAGACAACTTTTCAACTTGTGTAAACCTTCTGTCATGTAAATAAACACTGACATTGTAAAATGAATGTTTCCCTTCTATGTCTTTCTTTGTGCAGGGTGGAGCAGAGGGAAGAGAAGGGCTTGTTTGTTTGTTACTGCATCTCAGAACTTCAGAATTGCTCTTTTCCACTGATGAAGCGTAGTATCAAATAAGAGAGAAAGTGTCTTCAACCTTGTTCTCCAGCTCTTGGAATGATCCAGCCATGAGGTGCATAGAAGACTATTAATTTATATCTTAGGGCTTGCCTGGCCACCCTGACTGTAATCCATTTCAAGTAGACAATAATCTTTATGTAATAGGCTTAGCAGTTTACCATGTTCTTTCATACACGGCTGTGCACCGTTTCCTGAGTTACATCAACTTTGTGCCCAGTTGTCTCTGCATGCCTCATAGAGTTATGAGCAGAGCACACCTGCTTTAAAAAAACAAAACAAATACAGCTTCACTCCAAAGAATAATTCAACTAGGAAGGGCTAATGCCATAACAATTGAAGTAAGGATGCACGTGTGCTCTCTGTGCTACATCCTGTTTTGGTAACTTGTGTGTTTCATCACACAGGAAGGACTTTCTTTCTGGAAAGCTTACATTTTTAGAATTATGTATGCCTGAAGGCTTTTGATAGTTCCTCATTTAGTGAGACAAGATTAATAAAATATAGAGAATTGAGCTTTGTGCTTTTGTGGTAAAAATATCTGCCATTTTTTCTACTGCAGGATTATATCTGGCCTGTCTGTACCCACAGTATTCATTAGAAACAATCAAAAAAAGCCCGCTGTTAAGTAGAAAGAGAAGAAATGATAACATAGACAGACAGCTTTATCCAGCTTGTTACGGAGAGGGAAGGTGGGCGTTGTCTGCTTTGTATGATGACTGAAACAGAAGGTGAATATTGCTGGCACATGATGGAAATGGAAGATAAAGGACTGAAAAGGTTAGGCTGTGTCTTGCCATATAGACCAACTTTTCCTTACAAAGAGTAAGTTATCAGTAACAAAGCTTTCAACTTTGGGAATGTTTCTTTGATTTTTATGAGATTATTTTCCTGGTTTAGAGACTTGACTGTATTGTCCAGTGTATAAGCACCACTTGGGAAATGGTAGTTTGGGCCTCAGCGCTTACGAGCAGCTGGAGTTCTCCCATCTGCGTAAGAGTTTTGCATTGATGTATACACAGAGTTTAGGAGTTTAGGTGAGGTATGAAAAATGCAACATAAACCTCAGATATTGAGGACTTCTTTTTGTTTTAGTCAAGAGATATGTTACATTCAACATACATTTACAGTACGAGTTTTCCATACTTAAGAATTCTAGGTACATGCAGCGTTTTACCTACAGATATAAAGGCCTTTTTTTTTTAATTACAAACATACCCATGCTGAACTATCAAGAGTAGGCCAGAAATTACTTCATTTTTACTTCAAATAATTTTAAGAGTGTTTTTTAATTTATAACTGTATTGATGTCATGTTGTCCTGGTTTTGCTAGGATGGGCTAGCCCAGTGAAACTGTTACACATGTGGTTAGAATTCAGGAGGAGAAATAAATTTCTAGAGCAGATTAATGTTTGTGCAAGAAAACAACAAATAGTACTTAGGAAAACTGAAAATGGAAGTGAATGGAAATGCTCAATCCTACCATAAATTTGAAAATGTTAAAATACTTCATGTAAGTAGAGTGTCTGAACAGGTGACTGTTTTGTCTTCAGACTATTTTCAACACGTGTTTATGTACATTTTCTAAAGATTTTTTTCCCAATTTGGATAAAAAGATGGACCATTATGTGTAACCTTGCTGCTAAAATGTACTGAATGCTCCTGATCTGGATTTCAGAAATGAAGCGTAATGAAGTGGCTGTGGAGAAAATGTCTGCTAATAAGAGGATTAGGGGGATGGGACAGAGAAACTAGAATATATATTTCAGATCACCTTGGGAAAAACGAGTCTGTGCAATAAACATTTTTAATGTTGTGTTGGCTTTTTTAGCAGGCTAGGTCTTCTGTCTGTCTATATTTATATGCCTATATTGTTGTACTTGTTTTCATTGTAGTGGGAAGCTTAGTGTAGCAGTGTCCACTTCTCCATAGTTTTGTGAAAAGAATTTTTTCATATCTGATACTAATATCTCCTGGGAAAATGTCTTGAAAAGAAATATATATTATTTTTTTTTCCACTCCAGGAAGTAAATCCATCTTAACTCTATTTTTTGTGTTGAATATATAATACACATATGTGTATATTTCTTTCAAGGATAACTTTTCATCTCAATTTCCTCTCTTTGTCTGTTTTGGAGAGAAAGGATTTTCTTTTCCACCCCCTACACTATTATGATTGTGGATGTTCTTTTTACATATGAAAATCATTAGCTGCTGCTCAGAGTGGTACCTTTCATTGACATGGAGTCCATACTTCAGTCCCTGCAGTCAGAAATGGGGTTTGAGTTTTACTTATGTGGAAATAACATTCATTATTCTTTAAAGCATGAAAATAAAAGGATTGTGAAAATAGTATGCTATTGTCACTGTTAGGATGTTATTTTCACACTGTTGGTAACAACAGACATCCTCTGAAAACCCCCCCAAAATTAGAAAGTAATTCTGAAGTGTGTTTGGGAGCATTCCTCATAGGTGTTATGCAAGGAGAGAGCCTTACCATAACTTGCCTGTGGTTGCCGCTTGCATTAACACTTGAGAGCTGTGGCGTGCAGCAATCCTAAACCGACGAAAGCATTATTTGATCCTTCTCTTTGCTTTTGCTGGGATTGAATCTTTTTAATGCGTTGTGGTTCAGTTTTAGGCCAGTTAAAAGGCAAAGCAATGTTAAGTCAGTAGGGTGCAAATTTATTTTCTTTTTCCTGGCCTTACTGTAAGGTGATTTCTCACCAGGTTTGATAACCTCCTGAGGACAAGAGATCTGGGATTTAGAGAACAGAGATGAAAAATTAGCTGGAAGAGAATAGAAAGAATGGAAGCCAGATCTAGGAGGTTTAGGCAAATAAAAGTAATGAATAGAACATTAAATAGGTGTGACTGAACTGCTTTAAAACAATTTTGCCTAGATATTGCAGCAATGTGTAACAGTGCCAATTTCATGTGACTGGAGAGGTCAATAGGATGCATTTGCCAAGGAAGAAGAATATTTACCTACCATACAGAAGTTGAAATTGTATCCCCCAAGTGCGTGGAAGTAGTACTTTAAATCTTTGGTCTCCTGGGTGGAGGAAAACAATGGAAGGCAGAGGCTGTATTTATTGTTGAGCTGACTTTCTGTGAGTCTTTTAGGTTGTGCAGAAATGACCTGGGTGGTCAGCAAACCTTGACTGACTGATCCACCCACAGCCTTTGCTTTCTCACAGCTTTCTGTTGTGTGCAGCGGGATGCTGGATGTGTGGAGTGCTCTGTTCCTCAATCTACAGGTGGGGTCTAGAAGGTAGACCAAAAAAAAAAGCCAAGCTCACTTCAGTAGATTGTCACTTTGTGATTATTTGTTGGCTTTGGCAGATTAATTCATTGCTAATTCTTGTGGCAGAAGCTTTTAAGTGTTCTGGAGCTATGGGCAGAATTCAGATGGTGCCACATGTTTTCTCTCATTATTGGTCTGATAAGTTAAAAGTGAATCAATCTTATCAGTGGTTCAGTATGCTAAGTCCGAAGTAAGGTTTTTGTTGATGATTTGGTCTGCTGTAAGCATCAAAAAAAGGTTTGCCTTTGTAAGGGAAAATGCAGAAGCCAAACAGAATTGCACTTTTCCATGCATGAAGAGTATGCCTCATATGCCAGAACACTGCTGCCTGTTACCTTTTTCCATTAGAACATACTCATAAAGTTTCTAAGATTCTTCACAGATGTCTCTAAGTTTAATACTAACTTTGTTTATTATCTTTGGAAGAATAATGCTTGCATTACCCAGGTATTACAGCACATATGCAAATTCACGTGTTCAGGTGTAGTCCTTGGGGTTTGCCTCTGTGACTGTATGAATGCTTGCCTCGAAATTAAGGGGTTTTTTTCAGACCTGAAGATCTAATTTTGTGTGCAGTGTTAAGTGCTGATAGGTCAGTGGATGGTCCTGCAGCGCTTCTCTTCCAGGACAAAGGAAGTGTAGTCACTGAAATGGCTGCACTTGGTAGCTGTTACCAGCTTTATGCTCATTTATTGGTACATGTGTCAGAACAGTGATACTGGAATGTTCTGAAACTGGTTTATCTACTCTGTATATCTGACTGCTGTCTGCTGCTATTATATCAACTACAGGTTTGGGGGTTTTCTGAAGCATTTTGTATTTCACATTTTAAATATGCTGAAGAGTAAAACAACATCTACCTGGTGTCAAAAGCCCTGGGGTGGAATACAAAGAATTAACTTTAAATTCTGCTTTTCCGTGGTGTATCTTATGGGCTTGGGCAGACCACATAATCTTTATCCTATTGATAAAATGGGTGGAGAAGTTTCTTCTGTGAGTGGTCTGATTTCTACCAACAGAGACCTGCCACTTCCCCAACATTGAGAGGGGAGCTCTCAGTGTCTAAGAAAACACAGGATACATTCGGCTTTGTTTACAGTGAGAAGGTGAGCTATGCTGACAGGCTTTCTGAGGGACTTGAATGAAGATGCAGTCCTTGCTAGTCAGACTGATCTGCTTGAGGGTTGTCTGATGGTGTAATTATCTTAAGAGCATCAATGGTGGTGAAAGTTCAAGGTGTAAATTGTCATCTTCATCCTTGTGAGTTCTGCAGGAAACTAGACTCGGTTCTTAAGCAGGTCTTTAAGTCCCCTAATGGCCTATATATGTGATGTTTCTGGAGTGCAGAAAAGCCAATTTCAAAATGTAACTCGTGACCACCTGGGAGTTCTGAGCATTTTAACTCTAAATTATAGGAGGCCTGGGAACAAAGCTGGTTTCAGAGTCAAAGTGAAAATATCCTGCTAGTTCCTGCTATTTAGAGTAAAGACCTGCTACCCTGCTACAGTGTAAAAAATCACATCTAGCTGAGCAGCATTTGGCAGCCTGCTCTCCCT